GTGTCACCTATGGGTGGGCTGTCAGCTCACCGTGTCACCTATGGGTGGGCTGTCAGCTCCCTGTGTCACCTCTGGGTGGTCTGTCAGCTCCTGGAGAGCTGTTTATAAAATGTCTTCCACGAGGTGACTGTTGACACTATTACTAACAGTATCAGAAGGGAAACCAGTTTGTTAAGATCCAACACACACTGAAAGTCCCCACACAGCCAAAGCCTCCTCTAACGCATGCATGTATTTCTCACAACATGAACAAAGACAGTGGGGTGAGCAGCTGTCCCCACCGCAAGGGCCTGCTTATGCACAGCACCCCACTACTTTTAGGGAGCATGAGACCAGGAGCACTTTAAAACTGGTCTTCAGTGTTGTCAACACGCTTGTTGATCTAACTTCAATGCCCCAGAATCTTTGTGTGTTTTATCAGCCTTGGGGGCAGGGAAGTCTCTTACTCAGCTGCTTCTGCTTTTTCAAAACTTCAAAGTAACCAGAGGGGACCAGACTACCCACATTCCGTCAACACCTATTAGGTGACTCCCGGCCCAGGAGGGCCCATGTTTTTCTACACACAGAGCTGCTCCAAAACACTCAGGAAGTCTTAGACAAGAGGCAGATGGCAAAGGAGAGGAAGTCGCTAACACCTCTCCATTACATAATGCTAAGCACAGAACTTCCCACGACCAGCCTCAGAAATCTCAACTTCTCCTGGTCTATCACTTCAAAGTAAACAACAACTCAAAATGGGCATAAAGAAAGAAAGCTGAAATTTTTATTTGCTAGCCCGCATACAATGATGTTAGTAAAGATAATAACATATGAGTAAAAGCAGGTCAGAGAAGAACCAGGTTTCTGAAGATACATATCCCTCGTTCATCAGGTAGGCACCGGTAGGACACCCAATGGCTTTGCTGCACTAACGCTGAGCAGAGGGAGCTCTTGGTCCCGTCACACGTGAAGCCATTGGTGCTGTTTACCTACCTCCAGTTCTCCCATTTTCAGTACCAGAAAAACTGAATTGTGGCCAAATTGGGGAGGTCGGGGTGGGGGTGTCACATGAACAGCTCCTGCCAAAGCAAAGTGAGTCACTTCTGGCTCAGAGCATGTCATTGCGGGAGCAGGATCCTCTAGAGCACCCCTCCCTCCCAGGCCGGGGTGATACAGCAAGAGCACACCGTCATGGCGCCTCTATCGCATGTGTCCTTGAGTGACCCCCGTGAGCAAGACACACCTGCAGAGCATGCCGGCCCTAAAGCATGACACCAGGTTGAACCACCGGGGCGGCTCGTTATTACTGCAGGCCGCCCGAGCCACACATACTGTCTAAAAGTGGGACACGGCAACAGCCCCTCCCCTCCCGTCTTCTACAGATTAAACAGAGAAGCAGAAACTGCTTCAAACTTACAGTGCAGAGGGGAACGCAAAAACACCTTGAAGGCGCAGACAGGACAGACAGGTTCCTGCAGCGCTCTGTGAAAACAGGGTGACCTCTCAACCGTGGTGAGCACCAACCCTTCATGAGGGATTCCGCTGGGGACTTGGGACTGAAGAAAAGGTCACCTTCTGACAACAGGTCCAGCCAGTTACAAGCAGTGAGCTCCAGGATGAAAGGGGCACTCAAGAGGCGCAAGAGAGCCTGCTCCTCACTCACAAGTCCAACACCACTCTTGGCTCCCCTCTCTAGCTGCCCTGACGGAATTATCCTCACCGCGGTGGTTCCTCCACGCTCCCCACCCCTCAGCCCCGCACCTATCTTGGAGTCCATTACCTAGCAGGTGTTCATGAAGATGCGCCGAGTGAGTCAAATGTGCCAGGACTCGAGCACTGGAGGCAAAGGTTGGCCTAATGACCTCCAGGGCTCCTCCACGCCAAAGCTAAGCGCGCAACTGCAGACACAGGGGGGTGGGGAGTCTCCACCTTAAACAAGATTACACATCAGTACAACACTTTATTATGATTTATTACTGTACACCATTACAACCACAGGGAGACCTCAAACAGCACTCTGCTATCTTTGCCGTGAACGTGCATTTACATGTGCAGGTAGATGTTTTCCCATGTGGAATTTTGTGTGTGAGGTATTTATTTTTTCTATTAAAAAAAAAAACCACACCTTTGTTTCTATTGCATTATTACACTCCCTATTATCCCATCACGTGGCGTTTCCTCTTGCAGGAACACAGCACACACCCTGCATTATTGCTGACATAAAAATTACTTGTCAGAATACCTCGATCCCAGCACTATTACAAATCTGGTGTTTGCAAAGCGCTGGCCTTTGTTCCAGCTGTTTCCAGCTGATCATCTACTTCTCCTGGGGAGTCCCTGATGCTCCTAGTGGAAGGAGATGCCAGTGTCACTTTGGGATTTTTAAAGTCACCTTTCAAAACAGAACTACTGTAGGAGAATGACACACCTTGCAAGTTTTTAGGTTTTATTTTCAAAGGCTTGGGGGGAGAAAATGGTGACGAGAGCAGCGACCACGACACTGGCTGCTGCTATTGCAGTGCCAGGCAGAAGGCACAGCGACCCTTTCTGCCCAGACACACTCCGGCCCCTTCTGGCATCCCCACTCGCTGCTACCTGTGCAGACTCAGCACTCTGCCCTCTAGGAGACAATGCCAGGGCCAAGGTGTCCTGATACACCTGAAGGTTATGCTTCCAATGAGCTCCATCCAGATAACCCCAGATCTGGTTAGGCTGACATCAAAACGGAACTATCCTTGGAAAGAAAAGAACAGGCCAGAGTTTTTGGAAAAGAACCAAGAGCCTAAAGATAAAAAGCAGAACTGAGAGCCTAATGGTTCACGGCTATAAAAATGGAAACTTAACTAAAGATCCATATTCTCTGTTTTCTTTCTGCGGCCCCAACACCCTCTCGTCCTGCTCCCCAGTAACTTACTGCCCACATGCCCCCCCTTAAACTGCCAGCAATGTAATAAGGAAGGATGAGGGAGCGACATGATTTCATAAGAAGGTCACTACATTAGACCAGTGCCTTCGCTGAGCTCTGGTGACATTTACAATGGTCGATTACAACCATTCCGTTTCAGCAAACAATATCCCGCTTACAGATTGATAACAAAATAAATTAGACTACAGATAAGAAAGCAGACATGTGGCTGACCAGATCCCATCCAGATCCCACATTCAGATACAACCCTCTGTCCTGTGGATTATATCACAATTCTCATCAGAGAAATGCATACAACCCCAAACACGCCCGGGCCCCCACGACTTCACCCAAGAAGTCATTTTCACCCAAGAAGTCATTTGCAAATTCTCTGAACCAGGAGTTTCGCGGCCCCCACCACGGCTCATGCCACCCCACCCCCCTCAACCCAGGAATGCAAAGGGGTGGTGCAGAAGCCATTCAGACCGCCCCGGGCAAACACGGTCGGGCCAAATGACCCAGAGACACCCAGGCGGCGACCCAGATGTTGGGGGTTACCTGAATCTGTCACCGAGTCCCTTTCACCCCCTTCTGCGTGATGACATCAAGTGGAAATGGTACGCGCTTGGGAGTCAAGAGGCTGGCAAGCAGGAAACACAATTGAGCCTGAGCTTTGTTCAGCCTGCAGTGAGATACATGCAGTAAGGGTTAGACACGCTCACGGAGGAAGAAATGCCAGCATCCGCCCGGGTCAGCGGCGGCCGCCAGGGTGCTCGCGGGAGGGGGCGGCCGCAGAGGTGCGAGAGCGCCGAGCCGCGGAGGGGGCGTAACGCTTGCTAATGGTCTCCACAGGATAAATACCCGCCTCCCCCCACTCCTCCGCAGTCTCCCCCGCCCCCAAGTTCTGCTCGGGTGGTAGAGCTTCTACTAGCAACTGTAATCTCCGAAAGAAAGAAACCCGAGCGGGCGGGGAAGAACATTGGGGGGCAAACACACTAGCGAAATCCACCAGGTAGAGCCGGTGCCCCGCGGGCTGGGCGCCCAGACCCGCAGCCCCCTTTATAGACACCCCGCGAGCATCCCCGCCGCTTCGCCCCCGTCCACCACCTCTCCGAGTCGCTGTCACTCCGCTCCGCCGATTTCGCTACTCTTCCCGGCGCCGCCCCCACCCCGGCAGGGTCGGGGGACCGCGGCGGCCGGAGCAGCGTCCCACGAGTCCAGCCGGCTTTGTCCTGCCGCTGCCCTTCTAGCGGCAAGCGCCCAGGGCGCGTGGGTCTGCACAAAGACCCCAACATCTGGCCGGCCGCAGCGCCCTCCCCTCCCGGGGGGGACCCCGGGGCCGCAGAGGGGCGCGCGAGGGCAACTTCTCGGGGCGGGGCAGGCGTCAGACCAGGGCTGGAG